TTCATTGTGTTTTTCTATCCAGCTATGCTTTTATTGCATTGGCAGTGTGTTTGGGATCATTGTCATGCTGAAAATTTAAGCCTATCTGATGGTTGCCAGATGGTACAGCAAAGTGAAACAAAATCTGATGGTACTTTTCTAAGTTTTAGAATTCAGTCAGTTTCGACAAGATCCCAAACATCACTGGCTGAAATGTAGCTCCAAACCAATGACCGAGCCTCCATCGTTTTTTACAGATGGGCACAGACCATGACTGTTGGACCTCTTTCATGACTCCTCCATAGACACTGATGACATATTCATATTTGAATTCATCACCTTACAGCAGCGGTCTCCAACCTTTTTTGCGCCACGGACCGGATTGTGCCCGACAATATTTTCACGGACCGGCCTTTAAGGTGTCACGGATAAATACAACAAAATAAAACCAGTATCGGTACCGAAAAAAAGAAGATTTATTCATAACACACGTGAAAAGACCCAGGAAAACCGAGTAAACGAAAAAAAAATGATAACAACATAACGCTAAAAACCGATTTTAAGAACCCTGAAAGCCATATATTTCACACCCGAGTCTTAACTCACGGCCCGGTACCAAATGACTCACGGACCGGTACTGGTCCATGGCCCGGGGGTTGGGGACCGCTGCCTTACAGGACCTGTTTGATCTTCAGTCCAGTTCTTGTGTAATTTGGTACACCTCAGCCCTGTTTCCTTTCCTTAAGAATAGCTTCTTGTCAGTCACCCTTCCACTGAGACCATTTCTGATGAGGCTTCAGTGAACAGCAGATGTTTCAGCTGAAGGGTTAGATGCATCTATCATTCCCTGTGTCAGGACCAATTTAAACACAAAAAACTGGTTCAGTTAGGTGCCTTCTTTATGCTCGGATGATTCATAGGTCAGTGGCTTAACAAATAAAAAAGCATACCTCTAAAAATGGTCAAGTATAAGCAGTGGACTGAAAAAAACTTAAAAAGCAGCTTTGAAATTCCTTAAGAAACACTGAAAGACCACAAAGTGACAAGAAACCTAAGAAGCACAATAAAACGTGTGTGTGTGTGTGTGTGTGTGTGTGTGTGTGTGTGTGTGTGTGTGTGTGTGTGTGTGTGTGTGTGTGTGTGTGTAAAGAAACAAGCAAATCAAACTTCTGTTTTGTGTTTTCCAACAAAGGAACTGTAGTAAATCTGAATGGAGAACTTCATCTGAAAAAAGTGTAAGTGAAAACAGTTGAATGTATTGATTGCATCATATACTAATGATGCAATCATACCACACCGTTGCAGAATGAAAAAAAAAACACTCAACTTAAAACTGCTGTGGTGCTCCTTTTATTTACTTTAAACTGGTCTAACATGGCAAGATCGGCATGGCTGATTCTTGTGCTGTGCATGATTTTAAACAGTGTGATTAATAAAAAAGACACAGAAGAATGCAACAGATTATCAGATCAACTTGGGACCTCTCCATCCCATGGCTTTTTGGGGGATATTTGGACATTGGGGATTAGGGTTAATCTACTATAGGTTTGAACTGGGAATTAAAAGTGCAACTCGCTGGACTATGCTGAAAAATGAACCTTTTGCGATGATTTCCAGGTGGTATTGTGTGCTGTATAAAAAAATCTGACTGTATTTTCTGCATTCATAATTCATGCAGTTTTGCCAAGATGCTCATAACCACTGGCTGAAATGGAGCACCAAACCATGACAGAGCCTCCACCATGTTTCGCAATTGTCTGCAGACACTGATTTACCTCTGTACTGACCTCCTCTGAAAACTGACAATTTAAACTAAAACCTTCAAATTTCATCACTCCATAAAACCTGTTACAACTTATCTTCAGTCCAGTTCTTATGTAATTTGCTATGCCTCACCCTTTCGTCCCTGTTTTCCTTTCTTTAAAAATGGCTTCTTGATAGCCATACTTCTATTGAGACCATTTCTGATGAGGCTTCAGGGAACAGCAGATGGATCAACTGAAGTTCCAGATGCATCTCTCAGAGCAATTTAAAGACACAACACCGGTTCTTCCCTTAAGTTAAGAGCCTTTTTATGCTTGAATGATTCACAGGTCCCTGTTAGGTGGCTTAACAAATAATAATTATTCGTCTAAAAGTGGTCGGATACAAGGACTGGACTGACAATGAGTGTAAAAGCGGTCAAACTTTGGAAGACCTTCGGAAAGCCTGGTGAGCTTTTTACTATACCACATATGTGAGTCTACTGGTTCTCTCTAAGTAGTCTGCTTTCACGGCTCTTATTTTTGAAAGATGAACGCTTAATTAGAGATTGATTCATTTTAGAGGGTTGTAAAGAGCAATGAAGCAATACCGAGGTAAGAGGCACACCTCCGGCTTCTCTAACCCTGTGTGTGTGTGTGTGTGTGTGTGTGTGTGTGTGTGTGTGTGTCGTGCACTTGTGTGGAAAACTACTCGTGCAGCTGCATGAAATCACACTGCAGTTCTCATGGCATGATTGCTCAGGATGGAAAAACTCCAAACACTCACCGGCTTAAAACAACGTGACTTTGGCTGTACTGTAAACAGCTAATTACTCTTGTGTCCTATCACTGATAAAGCCGCGGCTCATGGAGTGTTTGCTGGAGTATTACACCAGGCCGCTGTCCCCACAGCGCCGACAGGCATCACCCTGCTTTTGTGCTAACACGATGACGTTTGCAAATGTGCGTCAGTGTGCAGTTCAACGCAGGGGAGGCTGTTTTTTGTACTTTTAGGAAAGCACTGTTTCATTAAAAGTGCATGTGTTTAGCTATGCCTGTACCAAGTCAGCAGAAAGTGTGCACAGACCAACTGTATCCACTGTAGAGACTGCACCAGCACACACAGGTGAATCCACACGCTCTGAGTCAGCAGAAACAGGAGCTTAGTGACACCGCTAATGAACCCAACTGTTATTCTTCAATTTAACTCTGAAGCCAGCCAAGGAACTCCTCTCAGGACTGCTACAATTACATGTCAGCCTTCTCCTCCTTAAAGCTGTCTTTCTCCTTATCTGTCATTCACTCTGCTTCTCTGCTTTCTGCTTTATCATGCCTCAGTTCTTTACACTGTAAAGTCTCATTGTTTGAGGGATCTTTTTTTTTTCCCCCTTCTCTCTCTCATACCATTAAAGGCACGATAAGGTATGAACTGAAGCCGGCACATAGCTGCCAGGTTATGTCATTACATACTTATCAGCTCATTCCATTTCCTAGGTGTCTATCAATCTGTCATTGAGATGGAGGTAGACAAAACTGCTCTTCCTGCAATGGCCAGGAGAGGGCACAGGAAATCAGAGAGAATACATGGAAATCACACAAAGCAAGTCTTAGATTAGGAAGACCTTAAAAATAAAAAGAGAAATATGTCATTTTTTTCTTCCAGTTCAATAGAAATAAGGGGGGAAAACATACTGTGAGCACTGGTTAACTGTAGGGCACTTTACATTTAAACAAATCCTCTTTTGAGGTACTGAGGTGCTTCATCTATGTTTGCATCATTCATTTCTTCAGTATTTCACTCAACCACGTGTATTTATTAGGATATTCTAAAATACCACGCAGGCTACTTTAATATATCCATGAATGCTTGTAAAATCTATTTTCTGCTAATAAGTCATTGTTGTTAACTATTTGAAGGTGTGGCTTTTATTTAATTAAATAACTGCCATGCTGTCTTCATTGTTCTTACTCAGATTGAGCCTTTTTGTCTTTACTGTGGGGGTTTTTTGTTTTTGTTTTTTTTAATTGTCCTTAGCATCATTGTGAACGTCACAAGGGCGTCACCATAACTATATTCTCATCTTGTCTCCCCTTTCCTCCTCCCCCTTTCCTCCTGCCCCCCAACAGGAGTGTTGGGGGGCAGGTGGCGAGAAACTGCACAGAAAATACGTCCATCGAAGAATATTTTGTCCAGGAAGTCACGACGCAAATACTTCTTTTCTTTTCCGCCGAGCTCAGGGATGCAGACCGCACCTGATATGTGCGTCGCAGCGGATCACAAGCGGAAAACGTTGACCGGAGCACGCACGCACAAGGCTTACGTGTCCAGCCACACACGCTCTACTACGTCGACAAGTTGGGTGCCCTCTCATGTCTAGTCACAAGGCTGGAAAATACTTACCCCGGTACCGCATTAGAGCCCCAGTACAAAATTAAAACCTCACAAGATTATTGCGCCGGTGTGCGTTCACCGGTATTTCCCTCGCAGTAAACGATTCGGAAGGTGCCCCAAAAAGGAGTTCATTTGTTGCGTAGATCTGCGCTGCAACGACCCCGTGATACGACTGTCGTATCCAAAGAGTTTTCTTTCTTCTTATTCACATGTAAAAGAAATACAAATTTGGGGGGGGGGAAGTACAAATAGACAGGTGTTGTGGCAAAAAAAAAACGTGATGTCTGGTATTTGCCTTAAAAATGATTTTTAAAAATCGACTAAAAATAAAATATTTTTTTAAAAAACGATTAGCGGTGTTTAAGCTGCTGTAAATGACTTGTTGCATATAAGCTATCAACCATATCTCTAAACTGATATCGAGTCATTCTGAGCCAGAGAGAGCATACCTGGCACACAGTAGGAGCTTCATTCAGGGTTTTTTGTTTTGTTTTTGTTTTTTGTTTGTTTGTTTTTCCAAAGTGACTTTTACATATTCTTTTTTTTTTTTACATGGAAGGCGTTTTACCGACTTTAAAATATATTTTTCAAGGCAGCTGTGGCCAAGAGGGGAAACGAAGTTTCATGAAATATCACATAACAGTTCTACAACGATATTTTAAGGGATGGATTGGTCATAATGTAGAACAGAGGACAGATACAACAACGCAGATATAATGATATAAAACTGATCATGTGTCTATTTTATATATAACCCCTTTGTAAATCTTGCCTATTTGCCTATATGCAATATTACACATGTATAAGATCACTTTTTTTCTTTTTTGGTGGGGGCATTCTGGGCTCCTATTAGCGCAGAGCTCTATAGGACACACCTACCAAATCATTCACTTCCTTCGTACCGCGATCTCACCACACTATACGACAGACAGAAGAGGACGCACTAAGACAAGAGCAGAGTGATGATACCGGGTTAAAGATAAATCAGCCAGAGCTAAAGAGACAAAAGTTGCTCGCCACGATTAAACTGACACCGCGGTTTTCTTTTCCACTGAACATCATCCTCGTCCACGGCTTCAAGTTTCAAATGGACAGACACTTGGAGACGCCTGGCTCAACAAGCATGGGATTATTTCTGTAATGTGGATTGCTACTCCCTTGCAAGAAAATAAAGATCTGCTGCGGAACAATGTGAGACGTTGTGCATCTTGGATTCTCGTGTTTCTGGATATCTTGAAAATAATTGGCAACAGTTGAGACAAAAAGAAGAAGTAGTTAACACGCGAAGGATTGTATCCTTGGGACCAGCATGGATTTGCTTTTACAACCTCCTGCCCTTTCAGAGAAGTTTTAGCCGGTCCTCTTGTATATTGTCGTACTTGTGAACTTCATGCTTGAGAACAAAAAGCCACATTTGGCCTGCTGATTTTATTTTTTTCTAAACAAAGATTGTCTGCCCCCTTGGATTGGATTTCAAACACCATGAACTTTATTGACAGTTTGACACTATTATTTTTGACGCTGTCAGCTGTCAAGGTGAGTGTCCCCGGAAAGCAAACTGACCCATAGAGAACAAATTTAAAAGAAAAAAAAAAAGATCACATCTATTGAGCCATGTAGGGACTGCTCATTAATGTGTAGCTTGTCCTTGTCTTTCCTCTAGCTAGGTCACCGCTCGTGTTTAAACAAGCTCAAATGTTTTGTGGCTTTTTTTTTTTTCTTTTTTTTTTGAGGAGATTTAAACAGCCATTACGCAAAAGTGGCGTTGTATAAACATAACCCACACACACTCGGCGGGTGTTGCGAGCCTTTTTTTATCCTGTAAATCTACGCTAAGTGTTTATTTCTTTTATTAAAACGCAGAAAAATCATCTTAAGTTTGGCGTTGGCTGACTGCAGGCCTGCTCTAAAAAACCACCTTGGAGATATTATTACGCTTTAAAGGCGCAGTGGCTCCATTCTGATTTAGGACTTGTGAGCAGGTTCACTACCGGCATTCTGGCTTTTTCTGCTACAAGAAGCGGCTCCAGTTCTCAAACTGGAATTCAGCCCTTGATTCCAGTAGTGACCGAACGTTAGTCATCCCCCTCAAACCGAGATTAATCAGCCGATCTAGCGGCGGGATTGTAATGGCGCTTTAGTGCCCACTGTAAATCGTTTTTATATAATCATTAATCAACTGCTGGTATGGCTTTGAGCAAAGGTTTCAAGGTGAAAAAAAAATACAACCTCAGTAGGAGGCTGCGCGTTTTCCTGTAACATGATTGGACTTTCTTGTAACACCACTTTCAAAAGAGCCCATTGCTTCCTTTTGGTTTCCGGCGGCAACACAGCTCCTCTCGCGAGCATCTCAGCCCCGGCATAATAAAAGCACTAGCAGGCTGGAGTCCGGTGAAGTGTTCATTGAACTAACTGGATCACTTAATGACAGTTAGGCCTCTCAATCAACACTGGACTGCACGCGGGTGAAGGCTAAAATGCTCGTCTATAAGCCGGCATGTATCATCACTCGGTTTAAGAGCCGGTGCTGGCAGCTTGACACCCATACATTAATGTATAGTGCGCTTTTTTGGGGGGGGCTGGGGTCTCTCGGCCCACAAGGTTGGACCCTCTCACGCCACCAGAAGGGGGTGGGGCCTGCTAACAAACCGACCTTCTTCATTTTTTTCCTCTCCTTTCTTTCTTTTCTTTTCCCCCTCCTCCTCCTCTTTCCTCCTCCTTTCTCCTTTCATTAAGAAACAGAAAAGAGTTTCTTATCGCCAAATGCCGGCTCACTCGGCACAGGCCGTATCTCATGCAACATTGGTGAGATATTGCGTGAGTTGCGCGTGCTCCTATGTGAAAAAAAAATGGGAGAGGGAAGGGTTGTGCGCGCGCGCGTGTGTGAAGACGAGACGGCATTGTGCGTAACGAACGAATGGAAAGTTGCCAAAAAAAAAATCCTTTGTGGCCCAACTGGTGTGGTGACAGCTACCCCCCTGTGAGGGGAAAGTAGCAGGCTGAAATTCTTGCCGGCTTTAATGGCAGCGGTTATTAATCCGTGCTGCCTGGAAGCAGTGGAGCCGCACAACAATAAAGGTCTAGTAACTGAAACTCAACAGCCAATCCTGAAGTTTATGAAGTTTGGTCACGTTAATGTGGCTGAACTTAGGTCAGATGGTTTGACACGCTGTGCCTCCGATCAAACATTTGCCCATATACGGCCTCCCTCACCACATATACATATAAGTTATAATTAGACTAGGAGCAGGCTGATTAAGGAATTGTATCTTCGGGTGTTTTATTTTGAAAAACTGCTACCCCTCGGATGAACAGCTGATGTTCTATAGAACCTTATTGTTATTAGTGTTAAAAGCTTATGAATATTTAAACCCTTAAAATGTCATTGCAGTCTATACCGTGTGTAGGTTGGCCTGTGATAAGAGGCATGTTTGTGTGGTTTTCATGTTTCAACAGCCATGTCATAATGTAAATATGTCTTTGGCACAACTGTGGATAAGTAAGGGGCATGGAGAGGGTTATGCTAAGTTCTTGCACAATCTACTGTAACTAACGGTGTGCTTTTTTTATTTCTTTTTTCTTGCAGAGTGCCCACATACCGAGGGAAACAGAAAGAGGTCCACATAACGGTAGGTGTCCTACAGGGCACCGTGGGAATACAGTCTGTGCTGGACTCCCTTGTTGGCTAAAAGCCAATAAAACAAAGGGCTGGTTTGAATTTCACCTTGACATTAAAGGCAAATTATTGCCTCCTAGTGGACAAAATTGTCATTTGACCCTATGGAGAGTCATCCGGGACCATGACTCTCCTTTTTTTTTTTTTTTTTAAAGCTAAAAAAAATGAGCTGTTTCATCTCTAAATCTTACCGTTGGACACGTTCATGTTGAACAGCATTCCTCCTCGTTTGAGGTTAAGCTGGTGAAATGTTATAGAGACCAGAGTCTTTTATAGAAAGGAATGTCACCCTCTTGGCCTTAAGTTTAGTTTTGCACAATCCCAGCATTGCCCAACATAAATTGGACAATCAGAAGCTGAACTTCGTGATGTTGCTCAGGCCCAGCATGTTTGGTTTGGCTTCCCAGAGGGTTCTCAGACTGGGGTTGTTTTAGGTCCAGCAATGCTCTGAGTGATGTTCTGGAGGTATTGCCGGTCTGTGTGCTAACATCTTTCTCAAGAGCAGAACTCCTGCAAAGACTCAGTGACGGGAGGTTGGTGTGTGGGGGGGAAATAGACTGAAGGTGAAAAGCACACAACAGGCTATTAGTTTACAGCTTTAGGCAATATGGATACAAAAAATTGGGTGACATTCAAGACCAGAGAATATTCAGTGCAGGTGATGACGTCAGACAGCAGTGACTCCGAGTCAGGGTGCATCTACCCTAGGGGATACTTCTATAGTTAACATGGATATTTGGAAAGATGCTGAGATAATAACCTAAAAGTTTGACCTGTAGATGGCAATAGTGGTAAAGACTACCAATGAGACTGAAGGATATCGCTGACTGACATATGAAGGGGTGGTAAATACATTTGAGGGTCACACATATGTGGATAGGGTTTGTTAACATAAAGTAACAGATAAACTGTTAATACTGTGATTTAGAGGTGAGATGGGCAAATGAACAGCTGAAAAAGTAAGCCAATATGGGTAAAAAAGTTGATACTGTTCTCTAAACGATGAATGGTAAGCTAAAAGTAATTGCACAGATTAATTGGTAAGCTGAGAGTAGTCCGGATCTAATTAGCTCAAATAAACAAGAGCTGGTGTTGATGAAGGGGTTCTTGAGTCTATCTGAGAGGCCTTTGGTGAAGCTGGAGGGTTGGTAACGTCACTCCTGAAGTGAAAAGTGAAAGGGGTTGGAAACACAACATAGAGGAGTACTTGTTAATTTCAGTGAGGAATTACATAAGTGTGTAAAAGTAGGTCAGTCCAGTCTGTATTTGATGGTAGACACCGAGCGCTACTCGATGGAATAATACAACATAAAACGTGTGTGTGCATGTTTATGTGTATAGTGTTTGTTGTGAGCCTGCCAATTTTCTTTATTCACATCCCCATTTAGGTGTGTGTGTTCAGGAGTGACTCACTTATACTATGGCTCCTCTGCCATTTTCTAACTGTGTGCACTGTTACTCTGTCTCCCAGTGATCCCTCTGATGGAGGTGTACAACAAGAGTTTGTGTCAACCTCGGGAGCTTTTGGTGGAAATTCTGCAGGAGTATCCAGATGAGGTGGAGCACATCTTCATCCCGTCATGCGTCGTTTTAACACGCTGTGCCGGCTGCTGCAACGACGAGATGCTGCAGTGCACGCCGACATCCACTTATAACGTTACAATGGAGGTCAGCAACGTTATTTGGAGCAGTAATACTTGTGTTTTTATATTGTTTTTTCTTCTTTGGCAGTTATGCCAAAGAAGGATATGTCTGTATCCTAAATATGGACACTTATTCAGTTTATTTTTGCCCAAACATCAAGCTAAGAAGGTGCACAGGCTTTACAAGTGTCTGTCCGACCAGCCCAGGACCCTCATGGTACTTAGCACAAAAAAGCCCCTTCAGCCTGTCCAAGTGCACATAGCTCAAAGGCTGCTTAGGTGTGACCTTTGAGCACTGAACCCTATTGCAGCATGCAAAAGCTGTGCATTTGGATCCATTCGGATCTGCCTTTTCTATTATATTACTACCCTGACTTTAACTTGAGGAACAATGAAGGACACTGGATATTTAGAAATACGACACACCAACGTGTATTTCTTATTTTTCTCTTTCTTTTACAGATTAAAAGAATTAATCCCAGGAGGCAAAAAAATGATATTTTCATGAGTTTTACAGAACACAGCGCATGCGAGTGTAGGTAAGAAACCCTGAACACACACACACACTCATACTCACATCCACACAAAGCACAGCCAAACATCACTGCAGGCAAATCAACGTGCCTTTGTGGAGCAGAGTGGAAGTTGGCCAAGCACGCCATGTGAAGTTATTGTTTGAAGTTTTCATCTGACACATTCACCAGATGTGTATCACCTAAATCCATATCTTATCTTTGCTTCTTTCACTTCGCTGATTCTAAAAAGACCCGAGCAGGTTTGAACACATCACAGCAGACATTCACAATGCTGCTTACATTCATCTTGGTTCCATTGAGTACAATGCCCTCTAAAGCATTGTTTGCAATTGCGACATGGAGGTCGCTCCTCGGTCCATAGTTTAGATATAGGTCTGTGAGATAAGTGTTATAAAGTGGCATTTTGCATTTTACTGGGGCAATATGGTGCTGTACAAACAGCACTGTATTATTGTTCGAACGATGTGCACTGCAGATTCTGTCCATCTCAGACCCTTCCCTGTGCAAATTACCCCAGCTTCTGCCATGTATGGAAAGGCTCTGCATCAGTGGAAACTAGGTATATATGGCTTCTATTCAGAGGCTTTTATTCAGTGTTATATTTAGATGTGGCCTTGTCTTAGGTTTGATGGTTCACAAGTTGTCTCTGGACCCTCTCACAGACTGCCCAGAGACAAGGTTAACTGTGACTGAAATTACCACGGATCCAGTCAGTTTGCTGTTTTGCTTTGACTGGCAGAAATAGGTGAAACAAGTAACATTATCAACATCAAATGATGTCCCTCTTGTGGCCTAGCATCAACACACACTATATAATCACTTTTTCTTGTCACCTTTTTTTGCTGTTTCTTGTTGGACATGTGTAGTTTTCCATACTCGTGACATTATGATGGCAGATTTGAGCTCTGTGTCATGAATTAGTAAACCTTGACAGAGCGTCAAGGTTTACTAATCCTCCCACGTTTCAGGAAACCCTGACAATAAAGCAAACATTGCAAGTATGAGTATTGGCCAAAGGCCGAGTTGAATAGCTCTTCTTTTTCTTTTTCTTTTTTAACTGTATCTCACGTTGAAGCCACTTGTCCATCAAACTTCCAAATTTGGGCAAAATATCCACAGGGAATTAGTTCTGCATGTCTGCAGCAGTGACGTCCTAGTTCACCATTTACTTGAAGCTATAAACCTTTAAGACACCTTTATAAAAATTTACATGGTGCTATGAATCCATTTACTTCTATTTTAAAATTATGACTTAACTATTACAGGAACTGCTTTATAGCCATTAAGTCGCTGGGAAACTGCTATATATATATATATATATAGATAGATAGATAGATAGATAGATAGATAGATAGATAGATATATATATATATAGATAGATATAGATAGATATAGATAGATAGATAGATAGATAGATAGATAGATAGATAGATAGATAGATAGATATATATATATATAGATATATATAGATATATATAGATATATATAGATATATATATATAAAAACATTGTACATTAAAGGGTTGGTTGATAGCTTTTGGTTTTGTTAAGTTTACAACCCTTCTGGGAATCATCTGCACCTAGATCTCTTTTTACATCAGTGGGTCATTGTTTATGACTGCACATCAAAAGCTACATTGTCACTGAACAATCGCTGATGGTGCTGACGCTACATTTTAGCAAATGCTCACCACTTGGACTGACTGCATTTGATGTGATTGACCAGTAGAATTCAGACATATGTAAATGAGAAAGCTTTGCCAGCATATTCATAACCTACAGGTACAGACATACCTACTCTAAAAACCTGATCAGCATGTTTTACTGTGTTGCTACTTGAAGTAAAGAATTTGTATCCTAATGTACAGTATATGTAAACACATATACTGCCATGCGTTATCCATCCTGTGCAGACTTGCTGTACTACTATGTAAAGCAGAAACTTGGCAAGTGGTCTATTACCTTGCAGGAAACATTGTTTCCTAAGACTCTGGAATAACTATTGCCTCCAGATATGCCAGCAACTCCACACTGTTATTGGCTGGGAAGTGAAGCAAACCTGTCAAAATGTGTTTGTAGTTGTGTGTATGTGTTTTGTGTGGATCCATCAATGAATATAATCCAAGAACTGCAAAATTTCCCAATAAATTGATTTCACTTGCCAGTTGCAGATGCCAGATACTTGAAAAGAAACTAGATTTATCATAGGTTCTGGTAAAGGACGGTGACGCAATGTGATGTGAAAAGATTCATGTGATTCCACCCATGATGATAATAAGCCCCCAGTCCCTGATGATCTTGATAAGTATCTGTTTACTGGGATACAGTTGCATGCTGTGATCTAATGTCATGTTGTTTTGTTTCTGCCTTTCAGGTTAAAGAATGAAGTGACAGAAAAGAAAGAAAAGTGAGTACAGCGCTCTTTCTGCATGGAGATTGTGATTTGGGTGGAAAACAATAGGGACTTGAGATTTGATCTTTTTCCGGTTTTGCCTTGCCAACAAACAATCATTTGTCTGCAACTCTCAGCCTTCCCAAATTATACTATAGTCCCTTTTGAACATAAATGATGTGCCTGTTATTTTCCCACTCCCACTTCCTCCTTTTTTCTTTCTTTAATATAAAAAAAGAAAGACAAAAACACAGATAGAAAAGCCAAAAGCAATAACATGTCATCAAAACCTCAGTGAACAAGCAACATGAGATCGTCCTATAGTGAGCACAAATTAACATGCTGCTGTCAGATAATAAACATTGGGAATACCAGCTAATCCCGCTCAGGTCAATGAGTGACACTTGATGAGTTCATTGCACTTGCAAACTTGTCCTTTACACCTTTCCCACCTTTTCTATCTCATCTGCATTCCTCTCCCTCGTCTCTGCTGTGTAGATGCCACTTGACTTCTGCAACTTTGGTTTCTGACTCCTCTGATATAGATAACAGTGTTTTTGAAGATCTGTTAAACTTTGGTGTTTATAGTCCTATCTTAAGAGGGCCTCCCTTTGAATACTACAGAAGTCAGTGTGCTAAGGGTCATTAAACTCTTTAATCCTCTTTCTGTGAGTAGCCGTTGATATTTTTCCATTGTGGGGTTGTTGTTTTGGTTTTATGTCAGGTCGTCTGTCATATAGATAAGGGGTAGCTGCGTGATCTTCTTGAACTTTGCTTTAACTGTTTTTGCGAGTGTGGCTTTGGTGGGGTGTTACTTTAGGGTAACAGTTCATGTTCTTGTTTCTGATATTTTGATTCATGTTGGCTAACCTCTCTAAGGCAAGAGTCTCAAAGTCTGTTAGGATGACTCATTATGTTGAGGTTGTGAAATTAGTTAATTATCAACGTCTCTGCGGAAATTGTGTGGATTTTACATTTAAAACACGTCTGCTTCATTCTGTTACACAGACCTAGATGCTGTATTTATCAATCAGTCCTAAATGGGGCTTAGTTAGCCCCATTTATGACTTCTGCAGTCTGTGATCCAGATACATCCCTGAATCAAAATGTTATTTTTAGCCATGCTCACAGTGATAGCAATGACAGATTCTTTTCAGTTTGCCAGTCCATCCGCAGTTTTCCCTGAACTAAAAATTCTCTACAATTATTAGCGCATTTTGTACAAGAAAACAGTGATCGTTTCAATATTAATCATGACTTTGGTTATCCCCCAACTTGTTCTCTATTACATTCATGTTTAGGTGGGGAAAAAACAACTAGTGGGTGGACAGTCTTGAATGTTGCACACATCCATTGAGTGGTGATGGTCTGCAGAAAATAATTTGGTCCCTTCCAATCATTCATAAAGCGCCATCAATATCACCCGCTTTGGATTATGAATACGTATTTGCAAAACTAACAACATACCACCACCAGCCGCGGCTGGGCATAATGCTAATTGGCAAATGTTATCATGCTAATACACTAAACCAAGGCTAAATAGCCTTTTACCTAGCTACACATCAACATGTTAGCATTGTCATTGTGAGCAAGTTACCATGCTGATGTTGCATTTAGCTCAAAGCACTGCTGTGCTAAAGTTAAACCTAAATGTGCTGCTAGCATGGCTGCAGCCTTCCTTCCCAGTCATTTTCATAAAATGAAATTTGGTTTGCCCATCAGTAAGGTAGCTAGGTGTCAAGTGCAGAGTGGACACATGTGGAAAGAGATGTGTAAAATAAGGAAAGATTCAGTCAAATGAGAATCCAATTCTAATAATAGTCTAAAAATCTAAAATTCTTTGACAGACTGCAATACCAACAGCAGCAAAACCTTCAAGAAAAACATCTGTCATACTAAAAAGAGGGCAACTTTATTTTTAAGGTCACCCACTGAACATAAGTTTAAAAAAAGCACCTATGTGACTGAATAATGGAGTAACATCAGGTTATGTGCTTTGATATGACCTGAGGTCACAGGACTATACAGCTCTGTGAAAAATGAAGTTTTCACGGGACTTTATACGGTCCTGTGAAAAACTAAGTACACCCTTTTTGCTTCCACAATGATTAAAAGAGTAAATAGCAGCCAAGCGCTGATAATGAAATGTACTTGGTTAACCGATAATAATTTAATCGAGTACATTTGCTCATTATCAATTAATTGATAATCGATTAATTAATATCTCTTTAAAAGTAAAGTTTTGGCAGTTTTCTGGTCTGGAACATTCAGCTGTGTGTTAACACAATGCCACAATCTTCCCAGGAGTGGACGTCCGAGTCAGCTCAACCCAAGGTCTGACCCTGCAATGCTCAGAGAAACTACAGACTCTACAGGCCTCAGTTAGCATGTTAAATGTATGGCTTGTTTGGAAGGCTGCCAGGAAAAAGCATCTTCACTCTAAAAAGACAATGGCAGCACGGCTTAGGTCTGCAAAGTTGCATCTGAACAAACCACAAGACTTCTGGAACGATGTCCTTTGGACAGATGAGACCAAAGTGGAGACGTTTGGCCATAATGCACAGCACCACATTTGGGGAAAACAAGCACAACATATCGGCAAAAACATCTTATATCGACTATCAGCCACAGTGGTAGAGGGATGATAATTTGGGTTTGTTTTCTAGCCAAAGGACCTGGGCACCTTGCAGTCATTGAGTCGGCCATGAACACCTCTATATACCAAAGTATTCTAGAGACCGTGTGAGGCCATCTGTCCGACAACCAAAGCTTGGTCCTAACTGGGTCATACAACAAGTCAAATCTCCAACAGAATGGCTTTAAAAGGAAAGGTGCTGCAATGGCCTAGTCAGACCTCAACCTGATCGAAATCCTGTGGAGGGGCATTGGAGCTGTGCATAAATGAATTCCCGCAAACATGGATGAACTGGAGAATCGCTGTGAAGAAAAGTGGACCAAAATTTCTCCAGAACGATGTGAGAGACTGAAAGTCTTACAGAAAATAACTGCTTTAAGATATTGCTGCTAAAAATTGTTCGACAAGCTCTTGTATCATGGGGTGCACTTAGTTTTTACCAGGACTACATAGAGTCCTGTTAAAACTTTCTTTTTCACATCACTGTGAGTCTGACACTGCAGTTGTATCACGTCTTCTGTGCATGATACAATTGCAACGCTTCTATTTATTTCTTATTCCTCCTAATATTTATAATATTTTATATTTTTTCTTACTTAGAAAGTAGAATTAATGTACTGTATATATGCTAGCCATAAATATCAATAGATACTTGTAATCATGTTTTTGCTGTTACGTCTAACTAACAAAAAGTTTCCAGCATAATTAAATATACCTTGTGCAGCGGAATTATATCTGACTCAGCTCGTTATAAATAATGCATATGAAATCCAGCCTATACACCAGGTGCATGCTTTGTAAGCACACACTGGCCTGTTCTCATTGTGCTGCAGTTTGTAACGAGTCGAGTCAGTGATAAAGAGTTGGCCCAAATAGACTAAAAGATGCGGTTTTGGTAAAGTCCAATTTTTTTTGTATTCAGATCATCTGGGAAACTTCCACCCACCATAACCTACAAAGAACAATATGCTTTCACTCTCTGCAGAGTCATTGTACTTATTATTTAAACATATATACATATCTTTTGAGCCCAGTTTTGGGCAGTGAAGGAACTTAGTCTCGGAATATGCGATATTAATCATATTCACACAGTGAGCTGCTTTACTCTGGCTGTTTTTTGAGAAAGAGGATATAAGTTGTTGTCTTGCTTTCTAAAAGCGTTATTTGTAGGTCATTTAACTCATGATGGAGTTACTTTCTCACTACGCTCATTCATTTCACATCATATCTCATCGTATTAATTGGGTCCAGAGAGCCTTGTGTGAAGTTAGAATCCCATATAAGCCAATCAGTAACAAAAATTAAAACTCTTAGCTAATAAAATGATATACATATTTTTTTAAAAACCAAAAACATTGCGATCAATTCATGTTGGCTTAAGCAATTATCATTCAGAGATTTAAGCACGTCACTCTCATCAGTCTCTCAGGCATCTCTCTGCCTTGTTCTCCTGTCTCTCTTGCAGAAAATCCCGGACAGGCAAGAATAAAGGCCAAAAGAGAAAACGAAAGAAAAACCCTGAAAATACAATTCATGATGCGTATGTCAGCTCTGCCTTCTCCACCTACCTGCACCTGAGTGTTGCGCTTCTTATAATTAAGCTAATCTGGGAGGAGTTATTTTGCCCCTTTTAATTTGTACCATTTAATTTGCTTATCGGCCCTATCGATTAGCATGTTGCTTCCGTGTGGTGTCCTAACTTTGTCTTGTCAGCCATGTCCTAAATATTCAGAATCTTAGACTGTATATAAAAGACATACACAGTTTTTAGGTTTCAGGAACTTCCACTGTGGAAGTTTTTCAAACCTGTATTCTTTCTTCTGGCCAGCAGGGGAATTTTTAGCTATCCAGCTTCTTAGTCAGATCCGTTCCTCGCTCGTTTGAACACACCGCGATGGCAAAAAAGAAGTCTTTGCTAACGAATGGGTAATTCATATTGGCTGTGTCCACCTTTTATCTACAGTCTATGTTCAGGATATTAGACTATGCCCTGTTTGCCGATGTGCCGAAGGTAGCTTCAGTTAAACTTTGAGTGATAACTAGGGGGTACTTCAGACCACATACCAACTTGCAAGGAATAAACATTAACCTCAAAATCTCCAACTAATCTCCTAGTAATATAACCGAGGCAATGGTTGACTGATGTTCGAGACGAGATACAGCATTGTATCATAAAACCGACAAAAACCTAGGGTTCAAATTGGCTGTGGCTTCTTGTCAGATAGCTCTTTTTATTATTGATAATGTCCACGTTTAAAGGAGTTCAAATAAACAGATCTTAGATCAGCTGCTAGCTGTAACATGAACCTCCTGTCTACTGACACTGATCTCAGATCCACCAGCATGGCTTTGCCAACCGGCTCATACTGTTCTGGTATCTGTGCTGGGATCACCAGGGTTGTAATCATAGTCCCGTCTTCAGTGTTGAGTCTGTGCTGCTTTGCTGTGTCTCGTACCCGTCTCCTTTCCCCACTTTGTTCTTTTCATCTTTACAAACAGTTTTTTGTTTGGTTTTTTTGCTGTCCTGTGCTTAATGCTGGTACTTTTCATGTTATGTGAAGATATGAGTGATGCTATCTATTGCTTTTTTTTCAGCAAATTGTTTAGCAAGGACTGTTTTTTTATTTCTTTGTTTGCCTGCTTTTGTGTTTAAAACCATAAAAAACTAATATTTTATTCAAAAGTAATATAACGAGATCATGTTTCTTCAGTGTTCATACTGTGAAGCGATTCCTGTCTGTATTTTCACTTGTAATTTGTATATTAAGATGTCAATGAAGTATCTGGGGCTTCACACCTGCTGAGAATTGTAATTCAGATGACTTTCAGCCTTTGTTTTGATTTCATGTCTCTCTGTGGGAAACCTAGTCCTCGGCTTTCCTTCAATAAAATGAAATCTTTCCTAACATTGCATCAAACAGACCCTCGAGTCTTCTTTATCACGAGTTTAGAGTGAGAGTGAGAAGTGCGCTGTCACTGACCCGCACTTTAAAGCCATATGTTGCTTTGTGATGCATGAACTGGTCTCGAGCTTCGCTAACTGCATGTCTAACACATATCGTTCATTCAGGAGAGGTCGAATCAGCTAGGCAAGGATGGGGGTAGGGAGCAGGTTTATTTCTACTGCTTGACTTTCTGCCTGCTCTGAGGGATCCTGTGAGCAATACTATACAACTGTCACATGCAGCACAAATTGGCAGTGGCTCGGAGGAGCAAACTGGAGCATATGAAAGGGTTGACCCAAGGGTGACCTTTCTTATGGGTGATAACGGTGCACTGTGATAATCTGCCTTTCCTTCTTCCTCCCCATCTCCTTGTGTTGTCTGTCCAGTGTTTGTGAGCCGTGTTGTGATCAGTGCTCAGAGAGGAGAAAGCGTTTGTTTGTACAGGACCCTGCAACCTGCCGGTGCTCCTGCAAACACACAGACGAATACTGTAAAGAACGCCAGCTAGAGCTCAACGAGAGGACCTGCAAGTAAGTAACATCGGCAAAGTGGTTCACCCATTTGTTGGACTAAACGGAAAACCTGTGTGGAATTTATAGTAATGCAACCAACTTAAGATCCAAATATAGTTCGGTCAGATGACATCGGTAGCAAACAGGCTCTAGTCACAACATCCCTGTTAGACTCCACTAAGTAGGCTTTTGCAGGTTCTCTTCATATTCAGTCGCGTGACTACTATAGCTTCTAGTACAACTATAAACTACTGTAATCCAATGTACTAGCACTGGAACATGGTTTGCATACAAAATTGTATGCTGTTTCTTGTAGTCTTACAGTCTTTTAAATGCAAAAACAGTACATAAAATCATAGACTGCATTTAAAGCAACTGAGATGCCAGTAACCGGTTTGCGTACTACCAATTTGAAGGTTCAAGTGAGGAATTTTGGGTCATTTGAGGAACTGCAGTTTCTGGATAAATATATGTTGAACTGGCAAAGTCTGCAGTCTGCAGAAATTTGTTTCAATGCCCTTTTCATTGTTTTCAACTATGATTATTTCAAAAAGCTGCATCCCTGCTTGCCCAGGACCAAGCGGCAAAGTGACTTAATTATTAATTCACTAGCTGGGACCACACCCTTATGTAGATGTGACAGCATATGGGGTTTGGGGTAGGCCTACTGGGCCAGACAGATCCCCAGATAGTACTGAGAGGTGAATGAATCGGAACAGCTTATAGTGCAGTAGGGCATAGATGGAGAACTGGAAGGGGAGTTTATGAGATAAGTTATCTCCAAATAAATGCCACCTTGCCTGCATTTGTGTGAGCAAGACAAAAGAATTAAAAATAGGCTGATTTTGCTGTTCCCTATAAACATTTATTGCGCTTATGATCATTTCTCTTTCTTCTTGTTTAGATGTGACAAGCCAAGAAGATGAGAGAAGTGGGGGCACCAGATGTACAAGATGAAGGAATATATTAGAGATACTTCACAGCACGCACTTTTTGACCTTTGAACCGTAAGCTCTTCTTTTCTGTGGAAAGCATTCCCCATGGACCGAAACAGAACAAAAAGAAGGACTGAACTGAAATTTCCTCCCACTGTATATCTGTGTGTACATAGACCACATTTAAAGAGAGAAAAAAAAGAATATACAGAATTGTTGCTGCTACTGTAATAACTAAGCCCATGATTCGTCTAAAAGCAAAATAGGAGCTATGTGGTTTTGCATTTCTAGCAGGCTTGCAGTGCAGGTGTAGTCTTATCGTCAGATCATTGTGTACAATTACTCCACTGGATACGAGTCTACTGTGGTTGTTTCAATCATAACATGCGAAACCTCTCAATCTAATATATATTTAACTGCTAAAACAGCAGGCAGGACTGAAGAGGACGTGGGTGTCTTTTTTTTTTTTTTTTTTTAAGCGATGGATGGACCTTTCTCAGACGACGTTTTGCCTTTTTTCTCCTCGTGATATCACTTCCTTCCCTCTGAAGACTTTGCAGCACTGACCTGTGCTTACATGGGTCACGTCTGTGATCAGAGGAGACTCTGAAGTGCCATATACTTTTAAAGGGATACTGGTCATCGATATAGAGTTTGTATGTATTGCTATGTCCTACAAGAAAACCACTGTATGATTGATTCCATTTGAAAACTGTGCCTCACGAAAGAGTACTGCTTTTTAAATTATTTTTGTTTGCATTGTTTCAGGAGTCTGTCAACTGTCGACGTAGTTTTCTTCAATGTTGAACTCAATACAGAATCCAGTGATTATACAGCTTCTCTAAACCTGTACATAGTTAATATCTCTCTCTAATAGTTCATTCTAGATAATTTATGTTATAGAGTATTTTTCAGTATTCAGTCTACCCATATTTAATTTGGTCTATTTATGTATGCAGTGTTATGTACCTGTGGCTGTCCTATCTCCCCATGTGTAAGGTCACTGATGGCTACTCTCGTTTCTACGAAGCAAAATAAGCAACAACAAAAAAATCATAAATGATTTTAACATTCCCAAATAGATCATTTGTACTGATAACACCTCCTCCTTTTCAACCCGTCTCATCTAAGGGCGTGGGTACTCTGTAGAATTTCAACTTGTGTGGTGTGTGTGTGGTGGTGTGTGTGTGTGTTGTGTGTGTGTGTGTGTGTGTGTGTGTGTGTGTGTGTGTGTGTGTGTGTGTGTGTGTAAGAGTTAATGTCTATATGAGTGATTGAATGGGATACATCTGTGTGAAGTAAGTATTTAAGTATTTAAGTAAGTAGCGGACGTTTGTTTTGTACACGGCCCAAGATGCAAATATAAAAAACTACTGCTCGCAGCTCAGTATACAATACTACAACACTACCACCGTTTTCAAATCTGGATAACATCTTTCTGCCATCAGTCTTAGAGTCCTAATTATTAGATCCCTTTGTCTCTTCTTCACTATTAACATGTTTTCTTTGTCTGTGTAAACAGTAAAGCATATTTATTTTCAAATCATATTGTTTTATAAAAAATAAGAAAAAGGTTGCTGTGTTGTGAATGCTGTGTTTTTCGGAAATTTAATTGGGCAGCGGTGTTCTTCTGTTTTTGTGCGGCAAAGTGACATTCGCACATCTAATAATAATGAAAGAAAGCCGAAGAGACGAATAAGAAACTCCTGCACATAAATATATATATTTTTTATGAGAGACCGATATTCAGTTCAATGAATAAAATGCCACCTTAAAGCACCATGCAATATCTTCATTTGTTAAATCTGAGTATAGACGGCTGCAGTGGGGAAGTAATTATTCAATTCACTGCTGAATTTGTAAGTTGTGCTCACTTCCAAAGAAATGAACAGTCTCTAATATTTAATGGTAGAGAGAGTTTCTTGTAGTTGGTCACCAGGTTTGTACATGTCTAAGGAGGGATGTTGGCCCACTCCTCTTTACAGAAACTCTCTAAGCTTCAGCTCCCATCACATTTTTTCTGGCTGGGCCATTCCACAACTTTAATGTGCTTCTTCTTGGCCACTTTTTTGTTTTATTTTTTTATTAATTTGCTGGAAGACCCTTCCAGACCCATCTTCAGTGTTCTAGCTAAAGGAACGAGGTTCTCGTCCAATAATTTATGGTCCATTGGCCCACTCCGGGTCAGGGACGAGACCCTGCCCCAAGTGGAGGAGTTTAAGTATTTCGAGGTCTTGTTCACGAGTGATGGGAGAAGGGAGCGGGAGATCGACAGACGGATTGGTGCCAGTACAGCGTCCGCACCACTGCAGCCGCTGTACCGGTCTGTTGTGGTGAAGAGAGAGCTGAGTGAAGTGAAGCTCTCAATTTACCGGTCAATCTACGCCACTACCCTCACCTATGGTCACGAGCTGTGGGTAGTGACCGAAAGCACAAGATCGCGAATACAAGCAGCGGAAATGGGTTTCTTCCGAAGGGTGACTGGCCTCTCCCTTAGAGATAGGGTGAGAAGTTCAGCCATTCGGGAGGGGCTCAGTGTAGAACCGCTGCTCCTCCACATCGAAAGGAGCCAGTTGAGGTGGTTCGGGCATCTGACGAGGATGCCTCCTGGGCGTCTCCTGGGTGAGGTATCCTGGGCATGTCCCACCGGGAGGAAGCCCAGGACACACTGGACACGCTGGAGAGATTATATCTCTCGAATGGCCTGGGAACGCCTTGGTGTTCCCCCGGATAAGCTGGAGGAGGTGGCTGGGGAGAGGGAGGTCTGGGCTTCTCTGCTTGGGCTGCTGCCCGCGCGACCCGGCCCTGGATAAGCGGAAGAAAATGGATAGATGGATGGCCCCTCAATGCAGTAAAATTGTCCTGTAGCCTTAGCAGGAAAAACAGCCCAAAGCATAATGTTTCCACCTCCGTGTTTGACAGCGGGGATGGTGTTCTTTGGGTCGTACTCTGCATTTCTGACACGGCAGGTCGTTGATGCCAAAGAGCTGCATTTATGTTTCACCTGACCACAACACTTTCTCCCAAGCCGTGTCTGAATCTCTGATTAAAGAGATTACAGAGACCAAATACTTATCTCGCTCAGTGACATGCAAGTCAGTGTGAGAGTTTTACGTAAGGTGTTTTTCTGGGGTTTTGGTTGATATTCTGTCTCTTTACATTAAAAATGAAACTACCATAAAAATTGCAGACTGTTCATTTATTTTGAAGTGAGCAAATGTACAAATTCTGCAGGACATCAAATAATTCATTCCTCCAAGTGTCTATCAGAGCGCAGAAGAGAATGACACTTAATTTGTGTTGATTTGTGTGATTAACAGTAAAGGCAAGATAAATGTGCTTTTTTATGCAGGTTATGGTGAGACAAATCTGGGATACATTATACTCACTCTGCAGTAGTTGGTGTGATCATGCATACTTTGTTTAAATTTAGCCACTGTCCCACTCAAGATTGTCTGTTGGTGCACCACTGGACCATTTTAAGCTCTGCTGTTATTTTTAAATCACTCCACGGAAGTCGGCTCTGGCTGCTTGCACTCACACACCTGCGGATGTGCACTGGATTTCCTCCAGCATGTCGAAACAGTGACCTCGTACTTGAATTTCAATTAGGAAAAAATGACATAGTGAGTTATAGTGAAATGAATCATGTGAGTAGAGCAGGTAGGGACCAAAATCTGCTGACTGCCAGCATACAACAGAAGAGTGGAACATGCCCACAGTTCAATTCGTTGCACCAAATATCCCCTTCTCAAAAGCCGACCCCCCGTTTAGCTTTTAGGTCATAGTCAGATACTGGGCTGTCATCCCTGACATGAAGGTCAGATGACATCAGGTTTATGTTCACTATCTGCACAAGCTGGAGGTGCATGCAAATGCACACTTGCAAGTTTAAAAAGAGCCACCTAAAAATAGCAGCCACGCTTGAAGCGATCCAGAGGTTCAGCCTGGCCGAACTTAAATCAGATCTGATTTTTACTTTTATTTTACTGTTTTACAGGCGTAGTCATGGAGCGCATTGATTGCTTCGCATTCATTTCACTACATCAACATTTGGACTACTGAATAAAGCTGCCAACCCACCGCCAATCACTGTATTGATGGGGGAGATGTGCTGACGCAGTGGGCTTTATGGTTGCTGTATAATGATTGTTGCCATAATCACTTTCAAGTTAGCGTGTAAAATCCTTCCTAATCGTTTTTTATTATACGATGTAGTGCTTTGGCATCTGATAAACCTTTAAACGCATGAATCTATTACGTAAATCAGCCTTCCTGGATCATATTTCATTGATTCGAAGAAACACTGCATCCCTTCTGCTCAGCTCTCTGCAACTGTTAGGCATTAACAAACAAATCCTCAATGACGACAAGGAATACTTCCAAAACAAGGAGTCAATCATTATCTGACTGTGTCTTTATATTGGGGGGGGGGGTGCAGGTGAGCTTTCAGCTACACAGATATCTACTTGAGTCAACATCACTGGCTGCCACTTGTTAAATTGAACGGAATAAAGATTCTTGTTTACCTGCATCATCGATCTACCTTTTCATTGGCCCCACAGTCCCCACAGCAACTTTTCTTGGAAAGACCTTTTTAGGAACTCAAAAACATTACCTAGAAATAAAGTCCTAGGAACTGATTTCCTTTTTTTTGGCTCATGGTCTACAGTTCCCGTTTACCCCTGTAGACCCATTTTCCCCCACTCTGCCTTTTAATTTGAACTTTTGGACATGCAGCTTGTATTTTGACACTTTATGCATGTGTTTTACAGCAAACCTGATATCAGCAGCTTCCAAATAAAAGTAGGCTGTCTATTTTTGCTCAGCTTCTCCAAATAACCATTTTGTCTCAATTTTTACCCAAAAGGGGGGACAATGAGCAGGTTTAGCTGTAAGAGCATGTATTAGTCAGTGACCCTTCAGCAGCAGCTGATCTCTAGGACCAAATCTAACCCCTATGAATGTAGATTAAGTGGCAGTTTTTGGCTCTTTGGACGTGTTTGTTTTAAAACTCTGTTCCACTTAGCCCCATTGCTTGCTGCTTGCTGGATTAGCTCCTGCATGGTGCTAATGCAGCCATGCAAAAGCTCTGCTCTCCCTGGCTCATGCTCTTTATGTGCATACCTAGATATAAAGCACACCATATAATCCCTGTAAATTGTGGGCCCCCCTTCACTGGGTAAAACTCCTACAAGAATGCCATAAACCATCTAATCTGTGATTTAACATGAGCCCAGAAAGAAGCAAGCAAGTTAGCTGCCTGTCCAGATTGTCCAGATGAATTATGTTAACATGATTTAAACTTTTTCAGATTTTTATATGTTTCATAAAAAGACTCAGAGGGGAATTTGTTGTTTATAACTATGATCTCACCAACAAATGGATAATATACAGTACTGTGCAAAAAAAGTCACCTCTCATTTCTTTATATTTTGCAAGAAAAGTGGGGAAAAGATGTAAACACAGTATAC